TTCAATTGACAGTAAGCAGAGATGCTGAGACAGTTCAGAAGGAACAACACCAGGAGCCACAGCAGCAGCCAAGGAAACTTATATGGAAGTATTTTTGATTTTTACTTTTCTTTCCCCTTGCCCCTTCTGACTCTAACATAACTAACCATCACCTTCCCTTTCCCCCTCATTTCATCTTCCTTATTTAAGTGTTGTTGTTTTCTGTTTTTTCAACTACTTGTGTGGTAATGATTTTTTTTCTTTTGAATTTTGTTGATTTGTTGCATTGATTTGAAATTTTACTAATCTTCTGCCAGCTGTATACTTTCAGGGACTAAAATGAGGAACAACGATGGAGGAGCAAGGTCGACCAACAAAAGTTGAGGAGATGACGAGTCCATTTCCTAGCTATATACAGCAGTCAACATGACCCAAAGTGGTAAGTAACAAATTGCTTATTTAGATGAAGTTTTTTTACTTGTTTGGAAATGAGAGTGATTCTCCTTTGACGTGTCTGTTTTCTCATTTTAAGAAGAAGAAAGTTGAGGCTGACCAGGATCCTGAAGTGAGGAGCAGTCCCTCTCATATAACAGCATTCGTGAGCAGAAAGTGCGGTAAGATTCATACTTGACCTCTTTGCACCTTTTCCCACTATTTTGGCTTTTCAATTGATGTTGGCTTTGACCTCTTGACTTTCAATTGACAGTAAGCAGAGATGCTGAGACAGTTCAGAAGGAACAACACCAGGAGCCACAGCAGCAGCCAAGGAAACTTATATGGAAGTATTTTTGATTTTTACTTTTCTTTCCCCTTGCCCTTTCTGACTCTAACATAACTAACCATCACCTTCCCTTTCCCCCTCATTTCATCTTCCTTATTTAAGTGTTGTTGTTTTCTGTTTCTTCAACTACTTGTGTGGTAATGATTTTTTTTCTTTTGAATTTTGTTGATTTGTTGCATTGATTTGAAATTTTACTAATCTTCTGCCAGCTGTATACTTTCAGGGACTAAAATGAGGAACAACGATGGAGGAGCAAGGTCGACCAACAAAAGTTGAGGAGATGACGAGTCCATTTCCTAGCTATATACAGCAGTCAACATGACCCAAAGTGGTAAGTAACAAATTGCTTATTTAGATGAAGTTTTTTTACTTGTTTGGAAATGAGAGTGATTCTCCTTTGACGTGTCTGTTTTCTCATTTTAAGAAGAAGAAAGTTGAGGCTGACCAGGATCCTGAAGTGAGGAGCAGTCCCTCTCATATAACAGCATTCGTGAGCAGAAAGTGCGGTAAGATTCATACTTGATCTCTTTGCATCTTTTCCCACTATTATGGCTTTTCAATTTATGTTGACTTTGACCTCTTGACTTTCAATTGACAGTAAGCAGAGATGCTGAGACAGTTCAGAAGGAACAACACCAGGAGCCACAGCAGCAGCCAAGGAAACTTATATGGAAGTATTTTTGATTTTTACTTTTCTTTCCCCTTGCCCTTTCTGACTCTAACATAACTAACCATCACCTTCCCTTTCCCCCTCATTTCATCTTCCTTATTTAAGTGTTGTTGTTTTCTGTTTTTTCAACTACTTGTGTGGTAATGATTTTTTTTCTTTTGAATTTTGTTGATTTGTTGCATTGATTTGAAATTTTACTAATCTTCTGCCAGCTGTATACTTTCAGGGACTAAAATGAGGAACAACGATGGAGGAGCAAGGTCGACCAACAAAAGTTGAGGATGACTCCATTTCCTAGCTATATACAGCAGTCAACATGACCCAAAGTGGTAAGTAACAAATTGCTTATTTAGATGAAGTTTTTTTACTTGTTTGGAAATGAGAGTGATTCTCCTTTGACGTGTCTGTTTTCTCATTTTAAGAAGAAGAAAGTTGAAGCTGACCAGGATCCTGAAGTGAGGAGCAGTCCCTCTCCTATAAAACAGCATTCGTGAGCAGAAAGTGCGGTAAGATTCATACTTGACCTCTTTGCACCTTTTCCCACTATTTTGGCTTTTCAATTGATGTTGGCTTTGACCTCTTGACTTTCAATTGACAGTAAGCAGAGATGCTGAGACAGTTCAGAAGGAACAACACCAGGAGCCACAGCAGCAGCCAAGGAAACTTATATGGAAGTATTTTTGATTTTTACTTTTCTTTCCCCTTGCCCTTCTGACTCTAACATAACTAACCATCACCTTCCCTTTCCCCCTCATTTCATCTTCCTTATTTAAGTGTTGTTGTTTTCTGTTTTTTCAACTACTTGTGTGGTAATGATTTTTTTTCTTTTGAATTTTGTTGATTTGTTGCATTGATTTGAAATTTTACTAATCTTCTGCCAGTTGTATACTTTCAGGGACTAAAATGAGGAACAACGATGGAGGAGCAAGGTCGACCAACAAAAGTTGAGGAGATGACGAGTCCATTTCCTAGCTATATACAGCAGTCAACATGACCCAAAGTGGTAAGTAACAAATTGCTTATTTAGATGAAGTTTTTTTACTTGTTTGGAAATGAGAGTGATTCTCCTTTGACGTGTCTGTTTTCTCATTTTAAGAAGAAGAAAGTTGAGGCTGACCAGGATCCTGAAGTGAGGAGCAGTCCCTCTCATATAACAGCATTCGTGAGCAGAAAGTGCGGTAAGATTCATACTTGATCTCTTTGCATCTTTTCCCACTATTATGGCTTTTCAATTTATGTTGACTTTGACCTCTTGACTTTCAATTGACAGTAAGCAGAGATGCTGAGACAGTTCAGAAGGAACAACACCAGGAGCCACAGCAGCAGCCAAGGAAACTTATATGGAAGTATTTTTGATTTTTACTTTTCTTTCCCCTTGCCCTTTCTGACTCTAACATAACTAACCATCACCTTCCCTTTCCCCCTCATTTCATCTTCCTTATTTAAGTGTTGTTGTTTTCTGTTCCTTCAACTACTTGTGTGGTAATGATTTTTTTTCTTTTGAATTTTGTTGATTTGTTGCATTGATTTGAAATTTTACTAATCTTCTGCCAGTTGTATACTTTCAGGGACTAAAATGAGGAACAACGATGGAGGAGCAAGGTCGACCAACAAAAGTTGAGGAGATGACGAGTCCATTTCCTAGCTATATACAGCAGTCAACATGACCCAAAGTGGTAAGTAACAAATATCTTATTTAGATGAAGTTATTTTACTTGTTTGGAAATGAGAGTGATTCTCCTTTGACGTGTCTGTTTTCTCTTTTTAAGAAGGAGGAAGTTGAGGCTGAACAGGATCCTGAAGTGAGGAGCAGTCCCTCTCCTATAAAACAGCATTCGTGAGCAGAAAGTGCGGTAAGATTCATACTTGACCTCTTTGCATCTTTTACCACTATTTTGGCTTTTCAATTTATATTGACTTTGACCTCTTGACTTTCAATTGACAGTAAGCAGAGATGCTGAGACAGTTCAGAAGGAACAACACCAGGAGCCACAGCAGCAGCCAAGGAAACTTATATGGAAGTATTTTTGATTTTTACTTTTCTTTCCCCTTGCCCCTTCTGACTCTAACATAACTAAACCATCACCTTCCCTTTCCCCCTCATTTCATCTTCCTTATTTAAGTGTTGTTGTTTTCTGTTTTTTCAACTACTTGTGTGGTAATGATTTTTTTCTTTTGAATTTTGTTGATTTGTTGCATTGATTTGAAATTTTACTAATCTTCTACCAGTTGTATACTTTCAGGGACTAAAAAGAGGAACAACGATGGAGGAGCAAGGTCGACCAACAAAAGTTGAGGAGATGACGAGTCCATTTCCTAGCTATATACAGCAGTCAACATGACCCAAAGTGGTAAGTAACAAATTGCTTATTTAGATGAAGTTTTTTTACTTGTTTGGAAATGAGAGTGATTCTCCTTTGACGTGTCTGTTTTCTCATTTTAAGAAGAAGAAAGTTGAGGCTGACCAGGATCCTGAAGTGAGGAGCAGTCCCTCTCATATAACAGCATTCGTGAGCAGAAAGTGCAGATTCATACTTGACCTCTTTGCATCTTTTCCCACTATTATGGCTTTTCAATTTATGTTGACTTTGACCTCTTGACTTTCAATTGACAGTAAGCAGAGATGCTGAGACAGTTCAGAAGGAACAACACCAGGAGCCACAGCAGCAGCCAAGGAAACTTATATGGAAGTATTTTTGATTTTTACTTTTCTTTCCCCTTGCCCTTTCTGACTCTAACATAACTAACCATCACCTTCCCTTTCCCCCTCATTTCATCTTCCTTATTTAAGTGTTGTTGTTTTCTGTTTCTTCAACTACTTGTGTGGTAATGATTTTTTTTCTTTTGAATTTTGTTGATTTGTTGCATTGATTTGAAATTTTACTAATCTTCTGCCAGTTGTATACTTTCAGGGACTAAAATGAGGAACAACGATGGAGGAGCAAGGTCGACCAACAAAAGTTGAGGAGATGACGAGTCCATTTCCTAGCTATATACAGCAGTCAACATGACCCAAAGTGGTAAGTAGCAAATTGCTTATTTAGATGAAGTTTTTTTACTTGTTTGGAAATAAGAGTGATTCTCCTTTGACAGGTCTGTTTTCTCATTTTAAGAAGAAGAAAGTTGAAGCTGACCAGGATCCTGAAGTGAGGAGCAGTCGCTCTCCCATATAACAGCATTTGTGAGCAGAAAGTGCGGTAAGATTCATACTTGACCTCTTTGCATCTTTTCCCACTATTATGGCTTTTCAATTTATGTTGACTTTGACCGTAAGCAGAGATTGATTCAGAAGGAACAACACCAGGAGCCACAGCAGCAGCCAAGGAAACTTATATGGAAGTATTTTTGATTTTTACTTTTCTTGCCCTTTCTGACTTTGACCTCTTTGTGTGGTACTTTTGTTGATTTGTTGCAATTTGAAATTTTACAGTAAGCAGAACAACGATGCTGAGAAAGTTGAGGAGTTCCTAGATATACAGCAGTCAACATGACAAAGTGGTAAGTAACAAATATCTTATTTAGATGAAGTTATTTTACTTGTTTGGAAATGAGAGTGATTCTCCTTTGAGCAGCAGTGAGGCTGAAGGATTCAACTTGACCTCTCCTTAAAACAGCATTCGTATATTTACCATACTTGACCTCTTTGCATCTTTTACCACTATTTTGGCTTTTCAATTTATATTGACTTTGACCTTGACTTTCAATTGACAGTAAGCAGAGATGCTGAGACAGTTCAGAAGGAACAACACCAGGAGCCACAGCAGCAGCCAAGGAAACTTATATGGAAGTATTTTTGATTTTTACTTTTCTTTCCCCTTGCCCCTTCTGACTCTAACATAACTAAACCATCACCTTCCCTTTCCCCCTCATTTCATCTTCCTTATTTAAGTGTTGTTGTTTTCTGTTTTTTCAACTACTTGTGTGGTAATGATTTTTTTCTTTTGAATTTTGTTGATTTGTTGCATTGATTTGAAATTTTACTAATCTTCTACCAGTTGTATACTTTCAGGGACTAAAAAGAGGAACAACGATGGAGGAGCAAGGTCGACCAACAAAAGTTGAGGAGATGACGAGTCCATTTCCTAGCTATATACAGCAGTCAACATGACCCAAAGTGGTAAGTAACAAATTGCTTATTTAGATGAAGTTTTTTTACTTGTTTGGAAATGAGAGTGATTCTCTTTCGTTGTTGTTGTCGTCTTTCACTTTTCACATTTTCAATTTCCAAACTTGCCACAAAGTATCCTTGGATGAAAGGGATTCAAGTTTGTTCAAATGAAGGGCCATGCCCTCTTCCAAGGGGAGATAATTATGAACTAGTGATAAAATAATGGTATCTTTAAAAATCTTCTTCTCAAGAACCAGTGGGCCAGGAAAGATGACACTTATGTGGAAGCATCCTCATGTAGTGTAGATTGAAATTTATTCAAATCATGACGCCTTGGGGTAGGGTAGGGCCACAATGGAGTATCAAAGCTTAACATAGAAATACATAGGAAAAATCTTTTAAAATAATTTTCTCACAAACCAGTGGGCCAGGAAAAATGAAACTTATGTAGAAGCATCCTCTGGTAGTGAAGATTTCAGTTTGTTCAAATCATGACCCCTGGGGCTAGGGTTGGGCCACAAAGGGGTATCAAATTTTAACATAGGAATACCTAAAAAAAATTCTTTAAAAATCATTCTCTCAAGAACAGCAAAGCCATCATTAGTCATAGTTATATGGAAGCATCCTCTGGTAGTGATGAATTAAATTTGTTTAAGTCATAACCCCTGGGGCAAGGGTGGGGCCATTAAAGGTGATGAAACTGGGATAACATAAAAAAAAACACATTTAAATTTCTTCTTCCGAGAACAGCAAAGCTGTGATTGGTCATATTTAATATATGGAAGCATCCTCGGGTAGTGTAGATTCAAGTTTGTTCAAATCATGACCCCCGGGGTAGAGTTGGACCAAAATGGGGTATCAGAGTTTTGCATAGGAATACATGGGGAAAATTGTTAAAATTCTTCACAAAGCAATGATTAATCATCAATTTAAAGCATCATTTAGGCGGATCACAACAATAAACAACAAAGTCATAATGTGTCATATTAATTCAAAAACATTCCAAGGAAGTGTAAATTTAAGTTTGTTTAATGCAAATCCCCCCCCCCCCTCCTCCTCCCTCGAACCCACTTTTATAATATATTCAAACATTTCAATACTGAACTTACTGTATGTGTACTTATAATGGCAAGCTGCATATTTTAGCGGTTTCAGTGCAAAGAGGATGCGCTAATTCATTAATACCACTAAGAATTCCTTTATAAATAGAATATATGGCACAAATATGTGTAGGGCTAATAATTACACCAACGTACTCTATATCCATTAATTGCGCTAAATTTTGAATACCCCAAATTATGTACATGTACAGTATTTTTGTATTTACCTAGATAGTCGCTCAGGTGAGTAATGTGGCCCCTGGACCTCTTGTTTAATTATTTTGACTTATCTTTTTCCTCCTTACTCTAAAGTAACTATGCCTCCCTCTCCTCGCCCCAATATCCCACCTTATTCCTATCCCAACCTTATTGTCTTCATTTGCTTATTGATTTTCCAGCTAATAATGTTGAAAAGGATACCGGTATGTTCATATGATTTTTTTATTGTTGAATTGCATTGAATTATTGCGTATCTTCTCTCAATCATGTATTTTGAAGGACTTTGACAAGGGAAGAATGGGGATGACCAGTCTTGACCAAGAGAAGAAGAAGAGTCCATTGCCAAGCTTTGTCCAGCAGCGAATATATGATTAAGGAGTTAGTAAATAGCTTTCTTGGCAATAAAGAAATTTTCCTTATACTTGCTATTCAAGTTTGTTCAAATCATGGATCCAGGAGGATTTACTTTTGCTGCACAGCAGCAAGACTGTGTTGCCATAACACTGTGGGATCCAGAGGATTCTTGATTCAAACTATTTTTATACATGATCCCTAATTTTTACTAATTTAAAAGTTATATGGAAATCAATTTTTGTCTTAATTTGACAAGGTCAAGGTGACTGAGTGAAAAACTTTTTGCACAAAATTTTGAACATCTTGTTAATTTTCAATGCTCTACTGGTCAGAGAGCAGTGAAGAGCTATATATCAATTAGTAACGGTGACACTCTAAAGTTCGGTATCTTTTGATGCTTTTCTGTAAACAATGCACCAAATTTTCAAAATGCTACTCCTCCTACAGTTTTTTTCAAATTTATCAATATAACTTGGCACACAAGTAGATTACACTAACAATGTAATTACTCTGGTTCCGTAGTTTTTTTACTGAATTTTTATGATTTTTCGGTGTTAATGGTTACTAAAAATAGAAATTTCTTAAAATTCCGTTTTCATGCTTTGACTCCTTTCTACAGTTTTGGTTGCTTTCAATAAACTTGGCACACAAAGTAAACTATACTAATCCGATGTCATGTCAATTCTGTGCATCTTAATATTTTGATGATGGCAAGAATCATTTCTCTCTTTATTGCTGTTTTAAAGTTTTAAGTCCCAACTGCTACTTTTCTCTTCCTTTGTTTTAAATAATGACCAGTAGAGTGTATTAATTGACAAAGGAATAAATTCAGGCATGTGATATATAAAGGTATTTAAATGAATAAACATATCTCTTAAGGAATAGATACTCGTTATCACGGGAACAATTTCGTTTTTATTTTACATCGGGTTGTCCAGGCATATTTAAAACAAGTGTATGTATGTTAACGCATTCAAAACGCTAAAACATTGATCTGGAACTTCACCTCTGATGATTTTAATTTTTACGGACATGCTCAATTCCTAAAAATATAACGTGTAAAAAAATAAAATCACCCTATTTCAACAGAAATTCGTAAAAATTTACAGCAGTAAAAATTACGATACGTTTATACATCATGATCCCTTTGGACTAGGTTTAGTAAAAATATGGAGAGAAAAAATTTCTTCTGATCACAAGGTCAAGGTGACTTTGTGCACAAGGTCCTCTTGTTCAATTTTAATGATCTTTGGATTTTCTTTGTCCACAGGCAGGAGACTGACCTCAATCGGTCAACAAGACTGTGGAGATGAAGGATTAACTACTGTCTAACCTAAATTGATGGTAAGACAGTTGTCAAGCTTCATGAAACTCCTTCTAATCTGTGAAAATGTTACCATTATTGCAGTTATTAAAATTTTATTAATATTTTTTGTTGATCCCTCATTATTTTGTTTCTTTACATATGTTTCTATGATAGCCGACAAATATGCCTCAATAATAGTGCAGAGAGTAAGGTTTGGACTGCAACCTGATGTAGTCTGATTTAAAAAAAACATAGAGTCAGGACAAGGAGGAACCATTTACACCTTTTGCTTCAAATTGAACAAATTAGATAAATTAATCCACAGAATTCAATGGACAGTGCTGAGTACATTGTTATCTACAAAGTGATGGACACACTAAATAATAAACCAATGGAATTCAGTGGATGGTCTGTTGTTATCTACAAAGTGAAAGACACACTAAATAGCTTAACTCACAGAATTCAGTGGACCATGCTGAGTATGTTGTTATCTACAAAGTGCTGGACACACTAAATAACTCAACTCACAGAATTCAGTGGACATACTGAGTATATTGTTATCTACAAAGTGATGGACAAACTAAATAAGTCAAATTACAGGATTCACTAAATAGCATAACTCACAAAATTCAATGGACATGCAGTGCTGAGTACATTGTAACAACAAAGTGATGAACACACTAAATAACTCAACTGATAGATTTCAGTGCACTGTGCTGAGTAACTCTTATCAACAAAGGGATGGACTGACAGGACACACTAAACAGCTTAACTCACAGAAATCAATGGACCATGCTGTGTACATTCCTATAACAAAATGATGGACACATTTAATAGCTTAACTTACAGGATTCAGTGGACCCTGCTGTGTACATAACTCACAAAGGATAACTCATGTCCTCAACAGCACATGACTCAAAGTTTACTCCATTAAATCTGTATTAAGGGATGTAAGTGATTTTGATTTAAGTGGAGAAAGCTCAGAATGCTACTACACTATTGTTCATCTTTTCAATTACACCAAGTTATTTTTTCTGTCATGCAATGAAAGTTGTTGATTTTACTCTGCCTCAGTAATTAAAGAATTGGGGACATATTTCAATTTAGGAATCACACTGTTTGTTCATGTAATTTTGTCCAGGCTCTTTGATTTGGGGAAACTTTGGAAACTCATACTCATTACAGGCCTTGCTTATAATGACCCACCAGTGAGTCCTGATCTTGATACAAGCTAGATCATTCCTTCAAGGTCACAGGCCAAAAAAGTATTAAATTTTTGTTCAGTTCATAGCTTTGTGAAAGAGAATCACTAGAAGCTCAAACTTGATACAGTGATTGCTGATGACCCAAAAGTGTGTCATGATCTTATCCAAAGTCATTCCATTTACCATGGTAGTTCAAGGTTACTAACAGAAAAAGTATGATATTCTTGTCCATGTTATAATTTGACTTTGTTATGGAGATTCAAGGGAAGCTCATACTTGATATAGAGATTGTGTGTGATCAAAGAATGTGTCTTGACCTTTATCCAAGGTCACATTGGTAAATTCAACGTCATTGGTAGAAAAATTTTAACATTTCCTCAGATAAAAGTTTTTAATGAAGAGGAATTGGTACAGATATATGAAAGTTCTGACTTTAATTCAATGTCATTGTAGCAAGTTCAAAGTTGCTGGCAGAAAAGTGTAAAAAAAAAAAATTCTAGGTTAACTTCATAATGGAGAATTACTTAGAGTTCCTACTTGAAACAAATGTTGCTACTGTCCTTTTGATTTAGGTCCTTGTCTTCAGATCATTGCAACAAATTCAAGGTGAACAGCAGAAAAAGCATAAATTTCTTGTTCAGACTCTAACTTTGTAATGGAGAAACATTGGAAGCTGGTACAGGGATTGTTCATGAACATAAGGTGTGTCATGACCTTGATTCGAGGTCATTTTTAGCAAGTTTAAGGTTGCTGGTATAAAAAGTATTAAATTCATAACAAGTCTTTATTATATTTTATGGAGAAATGGTGCATGTCCACATTTCACTTAACGATTACTAAATTCGGACAACT